TTCTTTCTCCTCATCCTTCTCCTCCTCTTCTTCCTCTTCTTTATCCTCTCTCTGTCTCTTTCTCTCCTTCTCTCTCTGTCTGTTTCTGATTCAAGGACTAATGCTATGGTAAGAATCTATGCACATAAATCACTGCCTGCAATGATAATGCTTTGGCCTTTAGCTAAGTATCACAGGGGCTGGTTTTCAGGGGTTGTGTGGGAGGACTAATAATATGTGATACAGGAAGAGCTATTCTTCAAATTAGTTATTTATAATTATATGTTATTTATACAAGAGCAGGGGACTTAAAATAGCCTTCCTCCCACAGGGTGGTTAAGTTGAACTACACTAAGTTGCTACATTAGCTAACAAACTACATCCAGTTATAGATGACCCTGGCCACAAGCAACAGCCAGGTCTATTTTCAGCATATTACTAAGTGGAACAGGTGGTTGAGGAATATGTTAGAGGTATATTTCCCTGGTTTCAATCAATCCAAGGGACAAGATCAGAGATGATTATATTAGCAGAATAAAAACTGTGAAGGACAATAACAAGTTTGAGGGCCTCTGAATAACTCAGTGAGACCTATCTCAAAATATGATTTTTAGAAAAGGACTGGGAGATAGCTCAGCATTTCTTGCATTTAATCCTCAGTACCAAACAAAAAACAAAACAAAATAGAACAAGACAGCAGCTCACTTCAGGGGTATCATCAATACATAGGCAGCATATAAATGATCAAAAAGACAGGGGACAAACTTGTTTTTTCAGTCTGATGATATAGCCATCTTACCATACTTCTGTGATCCAGCAAAGAAGGAACGCGAAAGAACAAAAGGTCTCTCCTTCCCTTTAGATCGCTGTATCAGTGCTTCTGCAGTAGCCATTTGCTGTAAAGTCAACGGAGAAAAATTTCAATAAATTGAGGGCACTGTGCTAACACCATCAATAAGCTACTTAGCATGCAAAAGTAAAGTAAATAGTAAAGAATGTGAAATGGAAAACATTGAAATCTATCAAATAATTTTCATGATATAATGAAACCAATCTAATTTTCCCTATTAAAGAATGATTTTTTTTTTTTTTTTATGATCTCACATAATAGAAAACAGGGTTAGGGAGGTAGCTCAGTGGTAGAGCACTTGCCTAACATATGTGAAGCTCTGGTTCAATCCTCAGAACTGAAAAAAAAAAAAAAAAAAAAAGAGGGCCAGTCAGATAGCTGAGCAGATTAAAGCGCCTGCTTAGGCAGATGCAGGGGATGGGGGTTCGATCCCTGGCCTACTGTGCTGGCCCCACCCCAGAGGCCTGCTGAGATGGCAATTGAGACTGGGCTTGATGGCATGCACCTGCAATCCCAGCAATTACATCTGAAAAGCATACTTACTGAAATTACATATATGTATTCTAAATCTTACTCCTTTGGTATGAATGATAGGCTTGTTATAGTTGAATATTTGTGAAGTTTAAAAACATTTGCTTTAATTACCTTTATTAGTATATTTATATACTACCTACATGTCATAGTTGGGGCTTTGCAAGGAGAACAATACAAGACACACTTTTAAAGATCATTTTATAATGAATCACCCCAAGAATCATATAAAAAGGGAGTATAGGCAATCTGTCCACACAGTAATGACCAAAGAATCCAGCTGAGGACCTGGATCCATGATAATGTCCTGTATGAGTGGAGCCGAAGGGAGGCTAAAGACATTTTAAAAAAGTAATCATCTTGCATTTGTTTATTCAGTGCTTCTTATAAGTAGGCATTTTATAATAATTCTTATATAATCTTATAATAATCTCTGACACAAGTTTTTTTTTTTATTTTTTATTTTTGTGGAACTGGAGATTGAACTCAGGCCCTTGTACTTGTCAGGGAAGTGCTTATTCTACTTAGCCATATCCCTGGCCCCACAAGTATATTTTTGTTGATGAAAAGAATTCAAATAGGGTAAATGACTAGCCTTAGTCTATATAAGACAGTTTGCTGCTGTACTAACAGGCTCTTAGAGAAGTAAACATATACTACTTGAAAACTGTGCTATCTCTAGTCAGCAGCTTCCACTGGAAAAATACCAGTTGGTAGGAGAGCCATGGGTATACAGTGAAAGTCTAAAAATAATGAACCAAGGGTATAAATTATGGCAAGTGATTTTCAAATCTTTGGAATGCCTTACTCCTTGCAACGTGATGTGATTAGCAAATAGAATAGAATTCTACCATCTTTATTGAAAATCCTTAATGAAAACTTTTCTACATCTGAAAAGCATACTGAAATTACATATATGTATTCTAAATCTTGCTCCTTTGGTATGAATGATAGGCTTGTTATAGTTGAATATTTGTGAAGTTTAAAAACATTTGCTTTAATTACCTTTATTAGTATATTTATATACTACCTACATGTCATAGTTGGGGCTTTGCAAGGAGAACAATACAAGACACACTTTTAAAGATCATTTTATAATGAATCACCCCAAGAATCATATAAAAAGGGAGTGTAGGCAATCTGTCCACACAGTAATGACCAAAGAATCCAGCTGAGGACCTGGATCCATGATAATGTCCTGTATGAGTCCAGCCGAAGTCCTAGAGCCCATAACAATACCTCTCCCAAGTCCAACTGGAGGCCTAGAGCTGACAACAATGTCTCATGCAAGCCTGTTTCAGGGATCTGCACTGGGAAGGCACAAAGGTCAGTGGCAGAAGCTAGAAAGTCTGTGCCAGCACAATGAAGGGTCTGCGCTAACAGGCTGAGGTATCTGAACTGGAGCTCGGAAGCAAAGCTCAAAGTAAGAACCAGAGCTCCCCTGAAGATATCAGCAATAGTGAAGGTAACAGCCATCCTCAGCAACAGTGAGGTCCCAAGCACCTCTAAAAATGACAACTGCCAAGCTCCTATCAAGAAAGCCAACATGACAGTCTTCTCCAGGAGACTGAGCAGTGCAGCATTTTCCCCTCTGGAGCCAGGAAACAATGCTCAAAGTGAGGACCAGAGCTTTCTAAAATGAGCCATAGCCATTTTCAGCCATTCTCTCAAGGTCCTGAGCTCCTCCTTCTATGAGAATAACCAAGTTCACAGGAAAGTCAGCATGACAAGGTCCCCCAGCCGAATAGCCCAGGAGAAGAAGCAGCTTTTAATAGCTTCCAACAGCTTCTCCAGACAGGTTCCCTTAACAACCTCTCAACAGCTTTTCCAGTTCTGCCTCTTATGCTGTGAGCAACAGTCCTCAGTGGGCGTCTCACTGGCAGTACCACACTAGTTCAGTTCAGCTGGGTGTAACAAGTTGGCCACCAGTTGGCAAGCCACAACACTACATTAGTAACATTTTAAGACAGTATCAAAATGGGCCCTTCTAACAGATATATTTCTATGTTTCATTAACCTCACAATACATTTAAAAGTTCAAGTTCATTATGGAAAGAAAAGAAACAAAAAGAGATAAAATAAAAAGTCTCATATTGGTTATAACTTAAGACTCAACTGTAGTTGTCAGAAAAGACTCACAGAAATATGAACATATATGTGGCTATTACAAAGTAAATAACTTTAGCCCACTGGGGCAGGGCACCTGAGTACAGTTGGCTTTTTTTCAGATCTTACCTGATAAAAACCATAGATGTTGTGAAGTTCTCTGTGTTCCCAGTTGCCATGATGAATGGCATTCTTTTGCATAGTTTGCTCTGGCCCTCGAAAGACTGAAGGCTCATTCATGTCGTTCCATATGAACAGAATATCTGTAGATCCCTAGGAAGTAAATCCTAATCATTAAAAATATTCCCAAGTACTAATACAGAATAAGACAGCATTTTACATTCTTCTTTCCTTCCCCATTTAATTTACCTTTTCGCTATGCTTATTGGTCAGGAAATTTTGTCTGTTTTGTTCAATGATAAATACCAAACACCTAGAACATTACTTGGTTCACAGAAAGTTCTCAGTAAATATATGTTGGATGAAAGAATGCTGTATTGTACTGTATGTAAAATATATGTTGCCCAGAAAGTTCACTCAGCTTTCTCTGGAGAACCCCTATAAGAAAGGCTGTGAATGTTCCCAGTGCAGCTCTAGATCATTCATCATCTGTTACAACTTTTAAGCAAAGACAATTATAGCTATGCAGTACATAGGAGACTTTTTTCTAATGCTCAGAAAGCTTTAACAGCTTAGCTATCTGTTAGCATGATATATAATTTGTGATCTACATAGAATAGTGCAATTTAGAGTGGAAAGAAACAGATGAGTTATCCAGTTAATATGGTGTTATAGCCCTTTTTATAGAATCTCTATCTGCGGCAGCTCATTCCATTATTTTCTCAATGCCCCGCTCCTTGCAATATCTGCTCACAAAGCCTAGTTTGCCTTGTGGGGTACCACAGGAAAAAATCTGCTGCCTCATCCACACCACAGGGAGCCTGACAAATACTGGGAAATGGTGTAAGTGTTTTCTTTCTACTCCTTGTCTTCCACTATTTCTAAATAAGTACACTTCTATGAATATGACTATGTAGTTTCCAAATATGTACCTTAACTGTTCTTCAGCACCCTCTGAGGCAGGAATTAGCAAGTTTTTTTCTGGTAAAACACCAGACAGTAAATATGTCTCACTTTCTAGGTTATAATATCTCTTTTTTTTTTTATAAACTTATTTTTTTAATTTTTTTTATTTATTAGAGAGAGAGAGAGAGAGAGAGAGAGAGAGAGAGAGAGAGAGAGAGAGAGAGACAGAGAGAGAGAGAGGTGTGTGTGTGTGTGTGTGGCCAGCTCAGCCCACCAGGGGGCGGGGCTGGCTGGCATGTGGTGCTGGGGGATTGAACCGCGGTCCCTGATGC